TAATAATAATATAATAGACGGTATATTTAAAATACAATCGCACTAATACAAGTAATAGTGAATTATAGTATTTTTACAAGCATAAAATTATGAAGACTACTGTTACTTTTTAAAACTAGGAATTGGAGTTATATAAAAATGGAAATTTAGATTGTAAACCTAATTGACAACGGTCATGACTTGTTCATAGTACGTGAGCACATAGCTGGGAAGAAACTGTTCTTAAATCTGTCCGTCCTACACTTAAATAGGCTAAGATTACTAGAGTGGCGCAGTTCTCTGCCATGCGACTCAATCCGGATCGGAGGTAAAATGCGGTTAAGGCGTGATGATGGTATTGTTATTTTATCCAAAACCTTCTTACAAAGAGTATCACGACGATCGGATAGACGGGGAAGAGAGGAGGTAGCAAGCGCGGTTGAATAGGACATGTTTGGATATAAAATCCGTAAAGCACGACGTTGAACCCTCTCGATTTTGTCGGAAAGGTAGGAGGGGATAGATGTATTCCAGGCTGCACAGCAGTATTCTAGCACAGATCTGATAATCGAAATGTAGATAGTCAGGAGGTCGTTGGCAGACACACCGGAGTTACGCAAAACTCGCAAAATATGAAGTCTCTTTGAAGCTTTGGATGTGATAGAGTCAACATGGGCGTTCCATTTTAGATCGTTTTGTAAGGTGACTCCTAGCAGTTTAAAACAGGTGACCTTCTCTAAAGGTTGGGAGTTGATCGACAATGTAGAAGACAGTTCTTGAGGGGGGTTGCGAAGAAAAGAGATGGTAAAGTCCTTGCACTTTTTAGGGTGTAATTTCATGTTATTACTCATCGACCAGGCATTAATAGAGTGGAGATCTTGTTGTATTCCAGGGGGGGAGTTACGATGGATGGCTTGGGAAAATAATTTTTACATCAGCCTTTAGAGCAACAGTTTCTCTTTAAATTCCGTAAATGTCAAGGAAATTGGAGTTTTCCCGGACACGGAAAATTAATTTTCAAAAAGTGTAACAATTTAGAATTTTTTGGATCGCAAAAAAAGACGATTTTTACACGCTTGTCTTGACATTGAAAAATCATTTCAAAAATTGAAAATTGGATCCACGTTCTTTATAAACATCTTATAAACAAGTTTAAAAACGAAAGGTGAGGTTTCATCACACGCCAATTGAGAAAAACGAAATTTTCGAGAGACCGCGGCTCACGATTTTTTTTGCTAATTTCGCGAATCTCGGGTATGTGTGAGGTTTTGATAATTTTCGGCGTTTAAAATAATATTTCAGAAAACAAACCCCACCACGTTTCTGAGTACACATTAGAGTATCACTGGAAAAAATAAGAAGATTTTTTATTTTTCCTCATGTGCCACGTATTCTCGATTTTGGTCGGTTTTAGTGGACATTGTCTCTTAAACATAGCCTTACCAATTGCCTCAATTTTTAATGCTTCGATACAGCAACAGCACGTTCCTGCAGTATGGAAAGACGCTGAAGTTATTCCAGTACCAAAAATATCGGTACCTGCATACATAACCACCGATTTGCGTCCTATTTCATTGACACCTACTTTGTCTATAATCTGCGAATCGTTTGTATCTGATTGGTTGATTAGTTCAATCAAGAACAAAATTGATAAGAGGCAATTTGGCTCTTTGAAGAATTCCTCAACGACTCATAATTTAATTAGTTTGGTACATCACTTATTAAAGGAAACTGATGCGTCAAAGTGCGCCGTTAGAGTGTTTCTTCTTGACTTTTCTAAGGCTTTCGAGTTTCGACCTGATAGACCACAACATTTCGTTGATAAATTATTGGAATTGAACGTTCCCCCATCTATTTTTAATTGGATTAAAAGCTTTTTAACTGGACGGAGGCAATGTGTGAAGCTGGGTAGTTGGTCTTCGAGTTGGAAAGTTTTAAACGGAGGAGTACCGCAGGGAACTGTTTTGGGTCCTGTTTTTTTTTTGGTTATGATCAACGATCTTCCCGATGAATGGCCCGACCGATGGAAGTATGTAGATGATAGTACGGCTACTGAAAGTGTCATGGTTGATTGTAGCAGCAATCTTCAGGATCTCGTCGATTATATTTATAATTGGACTGTTACAAATAATATGAAACTTAATGTCACTAAATGTAAAGAAATGATCCTTGACTTTGGTAGGGTAAAACGGAATTTCCCAGCATTATTAATCGAGAACACTGAAGTTGAACGTGTAAATTCTGCCCAAATTCTCGGCGTTACGATCCAAACCAAAATGAATTGGAATCAACACGTTAATAAAATTGTTAAGAAATCTGGGAAAAGATTGTATATGCTTAGGTTATTGAAACGAGCCAACGCTGACACTAGAATGTTATCCATCGCATTTACCACTATTATAAGGCCAGTCTTAGAATACGCTTGCCAAGTTTGGCACTTCAAAATTGCAGGTTATTTGAGTGATGATATTGAAAGGGTTCAAAGAAGAGCTTTGAGAATTATTTTACCAGAACTTAGCTATAACGATGCACACAAACTTATTAATATTCCATCCTTAAAGGAACGACGTGAGATTTTATGCGAACAGTTCTTTTTGAGAGATGAGAACCTTCAAAAATTGGATGAATTTTTACCTAATAAATTCTCTTCGGTCTATGATACGAGGGGAAATTGTAAATATAATAATTATTATTGTAAAACAGAACGTTTTAGAAAATCCTTCTTACCACAAATTATTTCGAAAATTAAATTGTAAATAGTAGTTTACTCCTTTATATTTAATTATTTGTAGTATAGCTGATGTAATTTAACCTTCGGTTACAAAATCAGTAAATATATTTAATAATAATAATAATAATTATTAGAAAACATCCAGACGATCAATAATTAATGAAGTAGGCATTGGATCCGTTTACATGTTTTTTTAGCTGATTTTCGAATCAGAGTAGAAACATCCTTCTCATCTAGCACTTGAAAAGATTCCATGACCTGTATTTCATCATCTATCTACGGATTAGTTGGAACCAGTGCTCTATCTATCTCATCAACATCATTTGAGTTAGTTTCAGCACGAACCTTGATAATCTTATGAACAAAAAATTTACCAATGTCATTCACAAGAATGTTTCTGTCCATTTGTTTAGGAAAAGACACATTGTTAAGCTTTAATGCAAGTAATATATTGGCTGCTCTAAATAGGCTCGTTTGATTGCTACTATTTTCGTTCACAAATTCGGTATAAAAATCCCGTCTAGCTTTATTTAAAAGATGGGTAACATAATTCTTTAATCTTTTAAACATTACAAGATCTTCTGCTCGACGTGATATCCGCCATTTCCTTTCAGCTTTTCTACGCTTTTTCCTTGCATCATCAATCTCATTATTATACCAAGGCATGGTAGGTCTTACAGCTTTAGTAGTGGACTTTAGAGGAGCATGATCATTCAAGAGCGCTGATAGCGTTTTATTGTACACATGCGCTAAGGCATCCATATCCGCAATAGTATCATCGGTATTTTCTGAAGTCAGAATCAGTGCAGATTCTTTAATATAATTTTTAAAACGATGAATGTAAATAGATAACTTTACGATAAGAGATATTCTTAACTGAAAACTGCGTTCTAGGTGAAATCTGTTGACATATAATGCAAGCATGGTCAGATATGAATCGTTCGGTACGTGGAAGTTTGGCTAAAAGTTCTTTAGAGGTACGGGTAATAATAAGATCTAATATGTTGCCATGAAGATGTGTAGAATTTGTAACATGTTGCTGAAGATTGAATGTTTCCAGTAGATCAAAAAACTTCAAAGCATCGATATTTTGATTATCATTTAGATGAAAGTTAAAGTCACCAGTAATCAGCAATTGTTCCTTACAAAGTAGAAATGATTCTAAGTAGTCTGAAAATTCTGTGAAGAAAACACCTGTCGAGATTTGGTGGTTTATAGAATAATTAAGGCGGTCTATATATAATTATCACACGAATGTTATGAGATTGCGAAGATACCAGCCATTCCGAGAACTCAGAAGAGTCTTTTCGACCGGCATCAGCCCTCTTGATAGTCAGCGAGTCTCTATAAATAAGTGCAGTTCCACCCCCACGACGTCCTATACGTGGCAAATCCGCAATTTTGTAACCTTCTGGGCATACTTCAGCTTTGACTGCAGAATCATTTGTTGTTAACCACGTTTCAGTAATGGCAGCAATGTCTGGTTTAGTGTCACAAATTAATTCGAAAATATCTGACTTTTTAGACCTAATTGATTGTGCATTAAAATTAAAGTTGTTGATTATTGCAATTATTTCGATTCCTTTTGGAACAAGGAACAATGATCAGGCTATCAACACTTCCTGATGGAGCATTTCTAGACACGTAACCTGGTTGATTGTTATCAAGGCGGAACATTAAATTGATGTTTTTGCCCCATTACTTTTGTGTCGTTTGGTTGCGGGGTTTGTCAAATTGTTTTTGTGAAATCCAGTTTCTGCAGCGCACATATTTTTTCATTTATAGACCAGGCGATAGGGAGATTCGACGTAATATTATACCTCAAATTCAAATTGTCCAATGAAAAAACAGCATTTGTACCACGTGATAATGTGATTTTTTACGGTATTTCACTCAAATTCATGATTTCGCAATCCAGCGTGGGATACTATAATATCCCTCGGCAGATCCACCGTGGGATATTATAGTATCCCACGCTCACGCGTGACGCGTGGACACCACGCTCTAAAAAAATATGGCGTTCGCGAGCTGTTGTTTGTGATTTCGTATTTTCGTACAGAATATTTGGCTTAGCAAAACATTTTCAAGACGTACTGTATGTTACCTTTAATGATCCAAAGGATACATGCTCAAATATTTTAAAGAGGAAACGTTAAAAACTCAGGTATACATAAGAAATTAAAAATTGTATTAATATATTGGCGTATTTTATAATATTCAGCAAGTTTTATTTACGTTTATTCTGAACTTAGTGAGTACTTTAACTTTCGGTATAATATATCATTTATAGACCCTCCGCTCGGGGAATTCGGCGATATTTCCCTCAGTGATGATATTTTCCTCGGGGCAAAGCCCCTCGGAAAATATCATCACTGAGGGAAATATTACGCCGAATCCCCCTCGCTCCGGGTCTATAAATGATAAATATTACCCAATGTGATTTTCGAGATAACCACCCCTTCAGGTTTGACCCCTAGCGGGCCATAAAGTTGACAAGATTTGGGACCTGCTTTGAGAGCCCACAAAACGAAACAAATCATTGAAACAATATGAAAAGACGGAAACAATATGACACCAACAAGGATGCCTTTAAAGTGTGGTTATTTGAAATTCAGTCAAGCGCTTCGCCATGTCGAAGTTATACTGTCATATAAAGGTAAATATTTGTTTTATACATTTGATTATTTCGTTCTCCAGAGTCGAACCTGGATCTCTAATTCGCTGTGAATTTGTGAAAATTTTTAAGCTAGGGCAATTTTATTCATTTACTGTCTGAGAAAAGATGGGATCTCTGAGTTTATAATTCAACTTGTTCGAGACATGTATTGAGTACTTCACCTCGGCTCAGTACTATAGCTTGATTCAGTCAAGGATAAAACTGATTTCATTTTTAAATGACGAGCTGTTATCAAAATGCTACTGGGATTGAGTTATTGGATGATTATTGTTTTGTAATTCATAAATCAGGCATCTCCAGATGAATTTTCTGGTAGCAGAATATATTGAATTTTTTACATTGGCATGATTGAACATACTGAATAAAATTTCTATTATGCTGTACTATAGGTTACCTTGAGCTCATGGAAACATTACAGATTGTACAACACTAACATCAAATAAACATGGTGATGAGTGTGGAGATAATGCGGCGACTGTGGTTATAACAACCATATAGTGGTTACCATGCAATCAGAAACAAATTTAATTAAAGAGAGGAATAAATATAGAAGAAACAATACAGATTGGATGCTGATGAAACAAAGATGGAAGAATGTATTGCCTTATAATAACAATTCACATTACATAAGAGCACAAGTATTGTTTATGAGTTGGAATAATTTGATTGAGTTGAGAATAGTTTGATTGACTTGCGAATATTATCCAGTGCTGGTTGAGAGTCAGAAAATTATGTCCTTTAAATAGCAACCTATAAAATGTTTTCTAGTTCTATTTCCTGTAGCTACTTTATATATTTCAATATCTTTTTGTATGGGTATATGATAACTGATTTCAAGCACCATGTTTCATGCCATGTGAACAAAAATGTAGTATAGCAGTTTTAACATTCTGGATAAAATAGTTATTTGGCCAACATTGAGATATAAATACTGATAGTTTTGGTGGAGATAACATTACCATCATGTAACATAGTCAGGGGAAAAATTCTCTAATCCTTACATCTACTTTGTTTTGGGAGTTTTATTAAATGTTTAACAATGAATGATAGTACATGTATTGCATTTTATTATATTATATTGTAATAAAGTATGAACATCTGATCATTAGTGTGGTATAAAGCATATGCTATATATTGAATTTTTTACAACAACTAGGTATAACAGTAATAACACTTTTGGCTGGGTGGATAATTGATGCCGTGCAACAGATACTGCCAAGATGTGGTTCGATCACACCAGCAACTTTCTACAAGATTTGTATTGTAACTATTGTTCACACTAACAATTTTCTTCAGGACTGTGATCATCATGTTTTTCAAATAAATTTCACAACAGAAAATACAATTACTATTGTATTTTCATCAATGTTCCTACATGTATCATGAGAAGAAATTTGCCAAGAAAATTGCTAGTGCGAGTAAGGGTTAATGGCAATGTTTGGAACATCTGACCCAAAACAATTTCTTGGAACAACAGTATTCTACATATACAATGTTATCTTGATGTAACAGAGCACATATTTTCTTCCTGTCGGCATGGGGAACACAATGTCTACAGTTGCAGCAGTCCAGATTTTGGTGGGTGTAGCCATGAATATGGTGGTGGTGATGTACAAATTGTCTTCAATTTGTCCATGAATGAGAACCTACAGTATCAATGTTTCCAAAAAAAAAATTACATGGGGTATATACATGTACCCGGCCTTTATAAAGATTACACTATGCATTTTTTGAAGGTTCACAAACAATCATGCATGTCATTCAACATAGCACATTTTTGTTCAGTGCAGTAGTGATATTAATTTTAATATGCAATCACACAAAAGTGGTATAAAATATACAACTAGAGGGCACTCAGAGACTGCATACCTCCGCCCGTTACTCGGAAGTGAAACGCAACCTTGGAATTTCCTAAGAAATCCACTTTATAATTCTTAAGCATAAAAGATTTTAGGCCCCCGCGAATTGAAATCGAATTGCTAATAGAACATATTACTGTTGTTGTACTGTACAGTACTTGTAAAATAAAAACTTATTAAGTGTCATTAAATAAATGCATAAATTTTGCTTTATGCACTCGCGCGTGCAGTAATTTCACAGTTGTGCTATTTTAAATTCCCAGGCAGCTAAAATCTTTTGTCTTTAAAACAATGTCGATTCCGAGGTTGCGTTCTTTTTATACACCCTGTATTGAAGTAATCTAATGTTGTTAGAATTTGAATGGACTGGCACTTTGCTGAACGTAATAATGCGTAACTCCGTAAGCCTTGTTTTAGACGTTGAATTTCGGTCGCGTGAAATGCAACTAAGACAATAGATAATGAAGGCCGAAGCTTAATGAGGTTTATCATCTCATTATTGTCTTAGTACTGAGTGCATAAATTATACACGTCCTAATTACGCATTCAGTAATATTTTTTGTTAATTGACCGGGAAAAGCAAGACAAAATTTTGTTCATTTCTCGTTCAATTTTTAACCAAATTCAACCAAATTTTAATCAGTTCTTCCTTAGCCGATGGGAAATGCATTCAAAAAATTTCGTACGGATATGTTTGGTATTTCTTGAGTTATCGTGCTCACAGACAGACAGACAAACACACACACACACACACACACACACACACACACACACACACACACACACACACACACACACACACATACAAACCCAGATGATTAGATAACCTCCTGGCGGAGGTAACAATGATTGAATGTATGGTCAGCAGGACTGCGTCCCATGTGAAAACCAACATACAG